TGGCATCAACCAGGTTCCAACTTCCACTCAAGCTTTAACTTGTTGGTGGTAATATATGACTTCTGTGTGTTTGTCATTTCATCCTCTAGCTTTAACAAAAACCATAGAAAACCTCAGTATAACCCCAAAAAGATCACGAACTTGAAATACCACAAGCAGTTCTACAACTTGAACAATCATATAGGTTGTTTTTTTAACTCTTTACCGTACCTTGGTTGTCATGGTTACAATAATAAACACACAGACTGTACCGAGAGCAGTGTACCTACCTTTGTCGCCATGGTTATTATAATAATGGTCATACCTTGGTTAAGTTTAGGCACAAGAACTACTTGTCGAAGGGTCATGGATGATAGAAACAACATATACTGCTACCTTCGCGTGAGAATCTTAACACCATTCTCCTGTGTCATATTCCTGTGTTTTGTTGATCCATCCGTCCACCACAACCTCCTCCAAAGGCAGACATTCTCCCTCTGTATACCAAGCCACCACACTTTTCCCTTTGCGCCTGTCATAAATACTGCGACCACAAGAGGTTGCCGAACAACAAAACGTAACTCTAGGTCATAAGAACCTGCTGATGACCTATGGGCTCGTGTTTTTTTTTTTTTTTTTTTTTTACAGAAAGATAGTCACTTGAATACATTTAACCATTAGCTAAGACAAAAGAACGTGTGTGATTACAAATATTGTCGCAAAAACCTTTGTTGTATTGACCTCAGCCTGTCATCTTCTCATAGATAAGCCATGTAACATTACTGCCTGAGTGCCAGTACAATCTGAGTCCACTGAGTGAACGCTCTTTATTCAGTTTACATGTTTTTTTTTTTTCTTTATTCTTTTTTTCTTTCTTGGATATTAGCTTGCTTTGGTCAGAGGCTGGTCCATTGTCTGCTAGCTCTGCCCATCCTTGCATGATATGAATGAAGATTAGCATGGATTGTTTGAATAAACCACCCAGGGTCTGGTGTTAATGCGTCACAGCAGGAAATTATGTGAATGTCATTGCATGTATAAGTGAAATAAATGAGAAACACAATCTGCCAGGAAGAGCTGGGCTGCATACGGCTGCAACCGATCAAAAAGACGTTGATTTAAGTGAAATGGCTTTGTTCATTTGAGCATGTTAAAATCAATACCTGCAGCCTATATTTTAGAGCATGGCTAGTTGATCTAGGCAGCATAGTTTAGCTTTTTTTTTTTTCTTTCCCTCTCCTTCAGTCCGTGTTTGTGTGATACATCAAGAATGATTCATGTGGGCCGTGCAACAAACAATGCCATTCTAATTTGTCATTTCTGCATGCTTGGCACCCTCGCTCGCGGTGGCGCTTTGGCAAGGTCACCGGATGTACCTGACCTGCTGTTAAGTAGAACAGTGAGGGTCAAAAACCTAATGCACATGACATGGATTGAAATGGATTGCCATCTTATTTTATTCTCAAGACACCACTGTGTGCAGCTGATTGCAGAAAATATTGCATATACCTGTGACTTTACAATAGTTCTCTGATTGATTATTATTAAACCCTTTTTCTCCTCATACAGCACTGATAGAAGAAGCCACCAAGGTGTTAAAATGACATCATATGACCAAATGTTGCAGCCCTAATTGACTGAGGGGGAGGGGTTGCCTGTGAACAAGTGCTTCAGCCTTCCCCCGCTCCTTGTACCCTTGACTCTAATTAAGACCACCTATCTTAGATTTTGCTGAGGTCAGGGAGGGGATTTAATTTAAAAACCATTAAGACGTGCGCACAGACAGAACTTGTGTTGCATCCAGGGCAGATATAATTTTAATTAAGTCTTATCTTTGCCCAATTTCTGCAGAACAAGACATCATCATAATTCCGCAATAACAGCCTACAAATAAACTGAACAACAGTTTGGTGAATGTGATGGGCTTCTTTTTGGTTATTGTAAGCTTTTTCTGAACTTATCATCTAGGTTAGTCTGTACATTTTCTGGAATTTGAAACAGAGGTATTATGAAGGTATTAACTGAAGTGGGATATAGACACAAAACAGCATGGATATTTTATTTTTTAATGTTATCTCAAGGTCCACTTGTGCTGAAGTGCTTGTGCTCTACTATTGCAACTACCAGGAAGTGGGCAATAAAAATATAGAGAAAATCTTAAAAGGTAAAATTATGCTTTTGTCACTGTATATTATGGAGTGCACTTAGTGTGTTTATCTTGAAGAGAGAGGCTTTTATTGTGAAATCAGTTGTATGTGAGAAAAGACTGATGAGCACACAACAGAATGCAAACTGTAGCCTGTGAATACAAGCCATCAATACTTTCACACTTGCACAGACATTTGATACCAGACAAGAACACTGCCATGTGTCACTTGTATCTTTCCCCAGTGATGGCATCCAAAGCTGTCATTGTGTTGTCATTTGTTGCCTCCTGTCCAATAGCTTCACAGCGTGCCAAATTGATGTTAAGGTAAAGAAATTATCTTGTTCAGTCTTCTCATGAGACTCAAAAGCTGTCAGTAATTCTGAGTGCTGCTGTTAGATGTGCAGCAAAGTGCCACTCTCTTCCCAAGTGGCCTGCATCCCCTCTATGCATACAGATATGGACGGGGAGACACAGCGCAGGATCACATTAGCAAACAAAGTGAATGTGGTTTAGTGAAGTTCAGACTCTCATTAACGCCTATACACTGTCCCTGAAAGTTACCCTTTCTCCTCAACCTAATTATCAAAAAAATGAACTGAGAATTTCAGAATAAAACACAGCCACAGGCAGCAATAATCAATAATCAGGGTCTGAGCAAAAAAATTGCAAAATTTGAAAGTTTTCGAGCTGAATACCAGACGGCGTTAAGATGATTTGAGAGATTAAAATGGGGAAAGAATTTTGGCTCTGAGCCAAGGGTGTTTTTCGAGATAATTGTGAAAACGTAAAATTAATTGTTACACCGCCATCTTGAGGTCAGTGAGTGTCATGAGTAGTAGGTGGAATTTGGAAACCACATGTCAATTTTGGTCAATTTTGTTCTTACAGGAGAAAAATAGTAAGAAAGAAAAAACAACCACAACAAAGGACAACAGGTTGGACACCTAAATATAATCATAGCGTTAGTCAGCTGGGTCGGTGATTAATGCAGTTTGGATGAATGAAGTGCGTGTGATGTGTGCAAAAAAAAAAAAAAAAAAAAAGAAAAGGAAAAAAGAAAAAACCTAGGCCTAGGAGGAAGAGAAGAAGAGTTTAACAAGGAAGCCACACAAATAGGCTGAGACCTGAACTAACAGTTCAGCAAGTAGATCCTGATGCAGTCTAAAGCAACGCCCACTGGCTCCTTAGCCCGGACACCAAATCAACATTCCTGTGTGTGCTGAGATTGGTTACAATAGCTTAAGCCAATTTTGATTCTTGAGTGTAAATGTTATCTTATGATCTCAATGGCACAGGTTTAAAACTGTATAATTTCAAAATGGATTAATGCATCAAAATTCCTTTGATAACTGTTTTGTCAGCATTGTCCGGAGATGATGTTGAAAATTTTGTGAGAATCGAATGGATGGCCTTGGACTAGTTTTTTTATATTTTACTTTTAATTTTTTGAAAATGCCTGTAAAATTTGTCATTTTTAGAGCAGATGAATGTATACAACACAGATATTACATTTTTTCAACAACTTAGCGCAATGATAGACTAGACAAAAAAAAAAAAAACGGTTCAGCAAAGGTTCAGCTTCAGCCTTTTTGGTGGTGTGGAGGACACCTGAATAGATCCACAATAGCTGCTTTATCACAAGGAGCTTTAAAGCAAATTTTATCTTTTTTTTTCTTCTTTCGTTTGTAGATCTGTGTCATTCTAAGAGTAAAATTGTTCAGCTGGATGATGAATATTTTCCTTGCAATTCAATTAACTATGAGAAGTCCTTCACCTGTTTCATGTCATGGTTGCCAAATCAATACAGCCAGAGGTCCCATTTGAAGAGATTTTGTCCTATAGACCTCTATTTTTAGTCATTCTAAAGCATATCATATATGTTTCAAATGCCACAGTGTAGCAGTCACTGAGCTAAGAGCGGTTGAAAGCGAAAACCTATTCGTAGAATAGATTCATTCTCTGAATGTGATTGTCCATAGTCAATGAAATTATTGTGAAATTTAACAATTCCTCAGTTTCTTTAGTAACTTCCAGGCCCCCAGGAGCCACTACTCTATGTCTGACAGTGTGTGTCTGTGCACAAATCAACACAAATCAACATCTATGATCCTGTCATATGCATGGGCGCTCCCTATGATGAAATCATATTGAGAGTGGGTATGTCACCAAACGTGATTTATTATTTGTCATGTTGCTAAATAGCAGTGGTCCCTGTTATTCCCATTTAGGGGCCACTGGACCCAAATTTGGAGGCAATCTAAGCCTTATGCATGTAGGAACAGTGCAGACTGCAGACCATATGGTCCTCATGGTACAGGCAAGTGATGCTACCTGCCGATTAAAGGGGAGAGAGAGAGAGAGAGAGAGAGAGAGAGAGAGGCAGAGAGAGGGGGGTTACTTGAGGAACTGTCGGCGACTTAACGAAAAGAAAGATACTGAAGCGAATTCAGCTTTTTGCTTTGAGTGTTCACGACAGAAAGAAAAAGAGAGCACCGAGGGAGAGAGAAAAAACACACATACAAGGAGACTTGGCTGATGCATCTCGGCGAGAGCATCCATTTCACGGCGATTACTGTTTGAAGCGGAGGAGACGGTGCGCATTTCTCTGAGAACCACGGTGCTCTTCTTTCCTCCGAAGTCAGTTTCCTAGAGCGGCTGGCGGGCGGAAAGACACTTCCCCCCCACCCCCCCCTACGTTTATCGACACAGACAGTATTTCATAACAAGCCTGTTTTACTTGGAGCCAAAACCAGGTCGACCGCAGTTCCAGCAGGTTTCGCTCCCGCATCTTTCTTTGTGGAGTGGAATTTGCGGTCCGCAGCGCAAAACGCATAAGAAAAAAAAAAAAAAAAAAAAAAGAAGGAATATCAGACGGTTCAAGTTTTCCTGGAAGTTGCGCAGTGACAGAAAAACATGGGAATTTGTGGCCATTTGGCGGTGCCCGGGAAATGCCTTGTTGTCCTCGGACTTAAATTGTTATTCCTTGTACCTGCAGGAGTTCCGGCCAGAAGCGGGGATTCTGTATTAAAGGACAACATCACCGTCAGACAGGGGGACAGCGCCGTCTTAAAGTAAGTCTTTAACTGTATTTCATTACCACATCACTGATATGATCTCCTCTTGTGCGCCATGAGCACCGACTCCTGCTCTACAGCATGTGTAGGTTCTAAAAGCGACTCAAGTGCAACGGTCCAGGAGTTACTAAAGGTCATGATAACCTATAAAGAAACGCACAGATGCCTGTTTTTTTTTTTTCATACATGGATTAAAAGCAGCCTATTGATACTGCGTGTGTGCCATTTGGAAGTTATGGTGAAACGTGCAAAACTCGGTGTTCAGCCTCTCCATCTCATTGCCCTTGAATGTTATTGATCCGGTTAGTTAATGTCTTGTTGAGGATGCACAGAGCTGAGGTACTCAAATTCAGCGTTAGGAGGGGTTGTGTACGTATTGATTTGAGCATGTAACACAAATGCAATTATGACTTTAAATTTCAGGGCTGAGTTGTTTTCATTACACTTGATGAAACGCTTCGGAAAACTGGAGAGTGTAGATCTTGCAGCTTTTAACAGTGAAACACCATTACCATTATTAATCACTATTGATCCCAGGGTCTTGTCGTGATTTCACAATGATCTTATCATTCTTTAATCATGTGTATACAGTAATAATTTCCAGTTTTGTCCTACTATTCCTACATATGTTTTCATTGTGTTTATCATATGTAATGCTTGTTCCTATATTTTCTCTCCTTGCTGTTATATTCCTCTTTATTTGCATCTATAAACTGTATTGTGGGTTTGCAGTATGCTTTTTTCTTTTTTTTTCTATTTTAATATATATATATATATATATATATTTTTTTTTTATAAGAATAGACCAGGTGTGGTGCTAGAAATCCAGAATCCCCATGAAATGATACAAGATAGAGGCCCGCTCCACCCACACAAATGCACACACACACACACACACACACACACACACACACACACAGTCTTACAATGTAATACATCTTTGAAGTGCAGCATTTACAGCCAAAATAGTATTTTATTATCACTATTAAGTGAAGAAAAAACTGTTGAAACAAAAGATTCAATTAGGGGAAATTTTGAAATAAAAGAAAATGTAAAAGGGGAACTCAACAGAGAAGAAACAAGAAATGAAAACAATGTGAGTAGTCATAACGTGTGCACAATTGTGAGGTAAAATAAACCTGTGAAGTTGGGATCTTCAACAGTCGTACAAATCTGCACTGTGTCACAGATGTTAATGACATTCTTGTTTGCTTACTTAAGTGTGATCGACAGAGCTGAGCAGACGTGTTCATTTGTGGTACTTATGTGAATGTGACATCACCAAGTCTGTGTGCATTCAGTACCTCAAGCTGTCAGAGCAGGGCAGCAGAGTTCAGCTGGCTCCACGCCGACTGAGATGGGATGTATTTAGACAGGAATTATCGCACAGTCTGATTACTGTTGACTAAGAAGAGCAGCTGAACAGTTTGCCGTGGCACCTTGGGTAGAGGAGGTGGTGCGCTGTAGCTGAACCAGCTCACCATGGAGGAGGCGGAGAGTAGTTCTCCAAGATGGAGATCAGTTTAGTCTTCATCTTGTCTTCTCTGCTCTGTGCAGCCTCAGAGAAGTAAGTTTGTCAATCCCGTCTCTGCCATTACAAATGCGTGCTGGCCTCCACTGATTAGGATGATTAGGAGGACTTGTTAAGTAGTCTGTTGGATCCACTGAAACCATCCATTTCACTCTCCTCAGCCTGGATGGTGACAGGCTGAAATCCACTTCTTGCTGCTTTGTCACGCTGATGTCTGATGGCTGCGCGTGGTTGCTCCTGTAGCAGCCCACAGAGCTCGTATGGCAGCTTTCGCATCCTCCTTATCCTGACCTGACCTGTGCACCCCCGCAGTAGAGGAGTCATCAAAGAAGTTGTGGAGTTGACCCCGGGTTGAATCTTAAAAGGAAAGGTGTAGAGAGTGGACTCAAAAGCTGACAATAGAGTTACTCGGGGCGATCCTGTGCTGCTTCACAGTGTATCAATACTCTGTCCTGGAGGAAGATGAACTGCTGCCTGTCAGTGAGCTAGTCAGTCCCTAATCCAGGAAACCATGCTATCCAGCTGCATCGCTTTGAGCCTCTCCCCAAGCAAGGGAAGGGGTGTCTGGATGGTGTCGAAAGCACCGGAGAAATCAAAGGACACCATTCCCATCCTGCTTCTCAGATTCTGTGGGTGGGAATAAGGCCAGTGGTGGTGGTATATGATAGCATTGTCCTCACATTTAACAGCTCACTGCTACATGCCCAGGGCAACCTGACGCTGAGTCTGTCAGGATCCTACTGCCTATTCTGCGCGGAGCCTCTCTGAACTCCCTCATCACCAGAGTGGCAGCGATGCAGAAGCTTGGAAGGGGCAGCGGGTTGGTGAGGCTGGGACTCAGGGAGCTTGGGTTGGGGGCAGGAAGCCTTGGATAGGAGTGTGGCTGTGGGGTTGATCTCTGACTGAATCAACATTATCTGAAGACTAAACAGGCTGAAATTGGCAGGTTTTGATTTGAACATTTTATGGATGACATTGCAGCTTTGAAACAACTCATTTCTACCAGGATACTGCTGTTTTTCTAAATAAACGACGATGTTTTTGTTAGGAACCTGCGATTTGCCACATAAACATGGCTCTAATATATCTATTATTATATGACAGTACTGCTATTCAGAAGACAATATGTCGCATTGCCGTGCTTTTCCCAGCATTTTCCCAAGGGTTAAAATTACTTCAAGTCACCAGTGTAGCAGTTGCCCTACAAAGAGAGATTCAAACACCGATGCACAGGTTTCACTCCAGCCAAGCTTTTCAGTCTCACATCAGGAGTGGAAAAATGGGGATGTGAGCCAACTCACACCGGCTTGTCAAGGGTTAAATGCTTTTAGGCCAGGGAAACTGCAACATTAATGTGATCCTGGCAATATGTTTTTTAATAAATGATTGTTGCATCTGAGTGATTTCCTGTTGCTGGCAAAACTCCTGAGTTGTTATTTTATTTCTACGGGGCTGTGTTATTTAGACAGTCAAGGGCAACACAAAGCAGCATCATTCTCACATAAAGAAAGCCACCGGCAACAGGAAGTTAAGCAGATGTGAGCGGCAGAATAATTAGCATCATTCAACATAGCTTTAGTAGCAATGTTACTTTTTTTTTTTTTTTTTTTTCCCAGAAATGAAAATTAAAGTGACACGTGCTAGATGAACAAGAAGTTCATGGCAATTTTAAGCCATTATATTATGTGCATGTGTATGTGGGCCATATATATATATATAATGTATATTCTGAGTGATTCTGATGTATATTCAAGACCAGGTTATTATCAGGTCTTGATTTCAGATGTCAGTCAATAGAACACTACATTCCAATTGGCTGTGTGTGCGCAGTGGAGGGAGGGAACTTTAATGTTGTTGAAATAATGTAATGTAATGTTGAAATTAATCATCATACACTAATCATACTTATTTGAACCTGTACAATTAACAACCTCTGAGCAGCCAACGAAACTGCAGGCGCTCATGCTTTTTACAACACATACATCCATAATGTGCAGTCGCATTAGTCATCCTGTGTCCACCGATGGACCTAGCATGGCTATAAATTGTAATGCTGATAAAATGAGCAATCTGTAATGTAAAATTACTTACCATTTTTTAATAACTTATTATATCTAGGAAAAATTAAATAAACTGGAGTTGAAATAGAAATAGAAAGCACAACAGTTTGATTTAGTGCCGGAAAACAAATTGATTTAAATAAGGAAGAATACATGTGTGATTACATATATAGATTGCATAGCTCCCATTCATGGGAAAATGGTTTCAGGCTTTTGGACCCCACTCAAGCAGTCACTAAGAAATGTGTGGTATTATGAAATTGTGCAAATATTCATAGGTCACTTCAACGTCATGGGACCTGTCTATGAGTAGGGGTAAGTGGTCATACTGCTTCTACTTCCTTATCCTTGCACCTGCACTGACTAGTATACCAGTATACTGACCAGTATACTCATGGATGGATTGTGTAGGAGAGACCTGCTCTGCTTGGTAGCCACAGTCAGCCTGCTCCAGCTATCAGCACTGATGTGTTTTAGGACAGGTCAATATCAACCGAAGGCAGCCGCTTCCCCTCAATGCCACTGGCTCCGCTGCTATGTCACTGACAGGGCCCTTTATAATTTGGCTCCCTGTGGCCCTTCTCCCGGAGGGACAGACAGACAGACAGCAGATAGGGCTCAGGTGATGCGCGGCTCAACCACGCAGTCGCCGTCTTAACCTTGTAAACCAGAGGGTGGGGAGCCAAGTGGCAACTGATGTTAGGCTGCTCTGATTTAAGGTGCAGTCACAACAGAATTCTCAAACTTTTTATTTTTTTTTTTTATTTTTGCGTGTGAGTTGAATTGTCTCCTGTGATAGTCGGAGTCTTTCTTTCAGAGGGAAATAGAGGTGAGTTTGTTTCAGCAGTAGCACTGCTTTTCTCATCATGTGATCAACTTGCTTCGTGTGGCCTGATTTTGGCAAGCAGGCATGTTTGAGAATAGGCTGATGCATCAAATTCAGGGTCAGCACTCAAGTAGAGATTGGACACGCTGGGGGCGGTGGAAGTGGGGCTTCAATAAACAGTAGTGGGGAGGAGATTTTGGCCCAAGCATAACATCACCTGTTATCACCTTGCTCTCTTTGAGTTTGAGGTAAAAAATATCTTTTTATTAAATTACCTCCTTCAGATATTTAACCTGCTATGCTGAAAAATTTAAGTGAAATGAAATCACAATCATCAAATTAAAATCAAATTAAACAGCAAATAATTACAAACTTTAGGGCTGGATCAATTGATTAATCAACCGAGTGAAAGATAATCATCAAATATTTTAAAAAGTGATTCACCCTTTAATCATTTTTTACTTAAAAAGCACTCCATTTTCTGGGTCATCCTTCTCAGGTATGAGGACATTCTTCTTCCCTCTGTTTTATGCCATTGTAAACTCGGTGTCTCTCGGCTTTGAACTGTTGCTCAGTAACT